TCTTGCAGCTCAGGCTTGTAGTGATCCTCCTGTCTCAGCCTCCAGCATGCACCATCATGCCAGGTCTTGGTGGTCAGCTTGGCATACCCGGGGTGGGGTTGGCATAGCATGTGGAACCAGGGATGGAACCTGGGTCCTTGTGCTTGCCTAGGCAGGCACTTAGGCAATTGAACTATCTCTGCAGCCCAACTATGACTCTTTATGAAAAGTATCTTTAGTAAAGCACTGGACACTGTATTGCAACATTGTAATTTCAGCTATTTGGGAGTCTGAAGCAGAAGGGTCAAAAATTTGAGGCCAACCTGGGCAATTCAGTGAGACCCTGTCTCAAAATTAAAAAAAAAAAAGTGGGTGTGGTGGTACTTACCTCTAATCCTAGTACCACTCTGGGAGACTGAGTCAGGAGGATCTCAAGTTGGAACAAATCCTGGGCAATTTAACACATTATAAGACCCTGTCTAAAAAATAAATTCAAAATGAATGGAGCTGTAGCTCAGTGAACAATGCAAAGTCCTTGTATTTAAGCCCCAGTACCACAAACTAAACAAACAAAAAAGGCTGAAGATGAAGCTCCATGGTAAAGCACCCCTATGTCCCCAGGTTTGATCCCAAGTACCTCCAAAGGGGGTGGGACTGAGTAATGTCCTTGAGTTCAATCTCCAGTACCCCCACACACACACACTTAGAGCAGAGCCACCATTATGTACCTTTTAGGTATTAGCTCTGCTATCAACTTACTATGTGACCTTGGGCAAGACCCTTCCCCTCTGGAGCTTCTTCATTTTGTAAAACAAAGTGCTATTATTGTAAATATTCTTTGAAGTTGTTTCAGCCCTGTAAACCTTTTGTGTTTTTTTGTTTTGTTTTTGAGCTGGTCTCCATAAGTAGTTCAGGCTGGCCTTAAACTCACCTTGTAGCACAGTCTCACCCTAAACTCATGATCTTCCTGCCTCAGCCTCCTGAGCACTGGTGATCACAGGTGTGCACCACCATGCTGGCAGCTCTATAAAACTTAGGACTTGGAGCCGAGGAGATGGCTCAGTGGAATAAGTGCTTCCCTGGCAAGTGTAAGGGCCTGAGTTTAATCCCTGGTTCCACCAAAATCAATCAATCAATCAATCAATCAATCAATTTTAGGACTACCGAAGATTCTAGTTATAACAAAATGTCCACTTCCCTCTCCAGTTTATAAGCAATTTTTCCTGAAATCAAAGATATAAGACATCTGGATGGTACAAGAGACAGCCAAATGGACTCTGTCCAAAGTGTATTTGGTGCAAAGTATAAAGTAAAAACTAATTATCGGGGGCTAGAGAGATGGCTCAGTGGCATAAGCGCTTCCCTGGCAGGTGCAAGGGCCTGAGTTCAATCCCCAGTTCCACACACACACACACAAAAAAAACCCCAACTAATTATCAGCCCAGCCTAACTCTGTCTGGGAAAACTCTGGAGCCAACAGTACTTTCCAGCATGTGATGTTTTCCTTCTAACTGGCAGTTCCAGGTGCAGATCAGTTCAGGCTGCCTCATTGGTGAGCCTGCCAGAAGCTTTTGTTTAGGAACTTGCTGATTCTCCCCTGCCATGTAGGGACCAGGGGAAAAATATCTTGTTCTTTGCTTTGCTCTGTGTGTGTGTGTGTGTGTGTGTGTGTGTGTGTGTGTGTGTGTTCTTTTTCATTTTGGTATACTAAAGCTTGAGCCCAGGGCCTTCACACTGAGGTATATCTCCG